AAGACCAGCAGGTCCTTTGCTCCGGTGCGTTAACAGAATAGTGCCTCCAAAAAGTATGCAGAAACAGGAAAACTCGACAGGCTGCTGAAATGTTACATGCTGCAACACATACTCCCAGCTCAGTGTTTTGGGAGGGAAGGATGCTGAGCTGTCTTGGATAAGGATAATAACACTGGAGAGATCAAGCTCAGGTATATCTAGCCTGCTTTGAATACTTCTGTCCTTTTGAGTGGTGGAGGAGGAGAAAGGACAGAGTTAAAGCAGAAGTAACAAAACCAAACCAAAACAAAAAATCAGGAGGGAAGAGAACATTGGAGAGGCTGTTGGCAAGAGACCAAGGACAGAGAAAAAGGAAAGGTGGGGAACACAGGGAAACTTCTTGACTTTTGCTTGGAGCTCAGCAAGTGGGAGGAGAAACAAACTAATTAGTAATTTCAGGTCAGGAGCCATGCTAGCCTATATAAGCTGGTGGGGCATTTTCTTTTTCCCACTCTCCTAGCCCTGCTTTTCTTCTGTCCTACTCAGCAAAACAACAGCTACCCCTGAACTCACCGGAGAGGTAAGAGTCCTTTCTCAGTTCCTTCATGCACAGCAATGAACATGCACCCTATGACTGACTTACTGACTTAACCGGATCTTTCTTCTCCCCCAGAATACCTAACAAACAGCATCTGAACTGCCCTTCTGAGTGAGAGCAGCTAATGCTCAAGAGGGGCACAGAGGCTGAGGAATGTCACAAGAATTTCGATTATTGAGAATTTTCTAGTAGGGTGAGGATTTATTAGTACTGCTTAGCCCAGTTGGCTGAACCAGTTTGTGGTTTGTTCCACAAACTGGAACTCTTTAGCATCTTTTTTTACTGACTTACTGTTCTACAAAGTGAAAAATGCCCAGATAGTAATAATATGCAGTTAATGTGGTAGTATCTCTGGATTTCTCTGTCCCCGAGAGACAGATCTCTGAAAACTGAATTGCCAATAGGCATAATGAGTATTTGAATCTGAGGGATGAGCTTGCTTTTGAACTAATGCTTTGAAATGTGCCATCTATGGGAAAACCTGAACTTCTTGAGGGTCAACAGCATTATAATCTCTCTGTTTTGGGGAGTGTGTTTGTGCGTGCATGCGTTCCTATACATAACGCAACACTATACTTACGCAGCTTTACTAAACGCCTGGTAACATCACACAGGCTGTGTTCGAATCAGAGTTGCTGCGAACCTGGCCCTTTCCTCCTATTGTACTGGGATGCAGGAATTCCTCTAAAAACATGCGGCACGCAGAGCTGGCTGCCTGCACACTGCATGGCAACAATTCAGAGAATGCAAGATACAATGACTGTAATTGTGCAGTAGCAGATCCTTGGGCAAACAAATACCACGTGGTAATTTAAATCCTCTTGATTTACAGAGTAACTTGATTTTTTTTCAGGCAGAGGAAAATTCCAGAAAGAAGAGAAAGTACTAGACAGCTTTGCTGCATTTCCAGAGCTAGAAGCCCAACACCCAGTAATACAGGCACCAGCTTGGAAATAACTATTGAGTATTAAAATAATTAGCCAAATAAAAGCCTCTGTTTCTTTCCCAGCTGCGAGCACAGCACCGCTCTTACTGTGCATGGCACATAATGAATGTGTGAGCGGGCTTGTCTCCATTTCAGCACACGAATAAAATGTATTTGCAAGCCAGATGTTGCAGGAGTGCTGCAGCAGTACGGAGCCCGCTACGCTGCCGCTTTAACGAGGCATTACTGAGATGCCGTAGGTATGGCGTGACATGGAAAAAGTGTACACAAGTGGAAGGGAAATTGATTTAGGGAGACATGAAGTTGCATAACATCCAGTGCTTTGCTACAGAACATTTATTAACTCTGAAAAGACAATGAAAAACCCCAATAGATTAGCTTCTTGGCCATGTGATGATTCTGTTTTCACGCAGGAAAAACATGAGGGTTTTTTTCTATTCTCACAGGTTCCATTTCATAGTTGATACAAAAATATTTAGATACTTTTAGCTGCAAAACTTGCCCTTTTGCTAACTTAGAATCACAGGATGGTTTGGGTTGGAAGGCACCTTAAAGATCATCTAGTTCCAACCCCCCTGCCATGGGCAGGGACACCTTCCACTAGACCAGGTCACTCAAAGCCTCATCCAGCCTGGCCTTGGAGACATAAGCATCCTTAGCAAAGATGGCAGACACATATTATCTAAACAGCACAAAGATATCTAGGTAAGAAGAGGCAGCACACATCTGAAATCACTAGGGAAAAGCAGCAGTGACCCAAATCTAGCCCTCACTTTCCACGGTGCACCTTGGGAAAATAGTTTTAAATACTTCCCCTGCATTTTCAGCAGAGCACAGATCAGCATTACACCACCGAGATGTGGTGCCTGGGTCCTGCTGCTGCTCCTGTCCCACGCCAGTGACACACCAGCATTGGGAGCCCACACTGAATTTCCTACCAAATGCATGTCTAGAGCACTTCTCCAGAGCATGTATGAGATCAGGTAGTGCACTCCAAGCCGTGTGTCTGAGAGCAGGATTCACACGGTCTTTAGTTAAGGATCTGAGATAAAAACAATACTTTTTGATATTAATGTAAATATTAAATATAAACTATTAAAAATGCCAAAAATATTACATGCTGGTGCCAGTTTCCAAGTGGTTCACTTCCACTTGGAAAGCCTAAGCCTTCCAGCTCTATGTCATCATCTCTATCAACACTCTCATCCTTTTCTTCCTCCTCTACTTAAGCTCCTTGGCTTTTTGTTCTATGCAAAGTCAAATTCAACACTCTTCTACGTACTGATCCTGTCTTGAGCCTCTTTCATGTGGAACCTATCCATGCATTAGCAGGGCCCTTCCAGAAAGCAGAGAATGCCTATTTATTATTTGTGCAAATATTTACTACTTCCTGAAACACCACCATCAGCCCTCCATAGCATACGCTGAGAAACTGTCTGGGATGTACATAAAGCAGCCGTTCCCCTACACAATCTCAGAGCTGCTTAACCACATGTCTGGGTCTGGAACTGTAATGCCCAGGAGTGAGACTGCTTTAGCTTAAGTACTCAGCACCTGTATTTCTGAAGCATGAATTCTCATCCCCAGATGCCAAGAAGGCTTTTTCTGCAGTTTCAAGTGAGTCAAGGAATAACTACGGTACTTAAACCTTGTACCACCTTATGTAGACTATTAATGCCCAACCTAAATACTTCATTGCTTGCGCAAGATGCTACTCACAAGTGAGACCTGCAGCAGCTCTGTTCTGTATTCACTCAACCATGTACCTTGTTGTGCTGGCTGTGGTTGGGATACAGCTAATTCTCTTCACAGCAGCTGTATGAGGCCATGCTTTGGATTTGTGATGAGAAAAATATTGGTAACGCTGCTGTTTTTAGTTGTTGCTGATGAGTGTCCTGAATCAAGGACTTTGTCAGCTTCTAGTACTGCTCCTGTGTTCCCAACTTCTTCCCTACAAGCAGCTGGGAGAGGACACAGCCTGGACAGCTGACCCAAACTGACCAAAGGGACATTTCATTATTTCATTCCAAATGAATTAATGGAATGACATGGGAGGGAGGTGAGCAAGCAGCTGTGTGGTACTTAGTTGCTGACTGGGGCTAAACCATGACAGTCCTTTTTGGCACCCGACATGGAGCTCGAAGAGCTGAGATAAAGGCAGATCTGACCAGAGTCACCGGTCACTCTCCTCATGAGGCCACGGCTCCCTGTCTCTGTCCCTGTGTTTTCTTTATCTTGACAATTACAAAGAATTAATCCTACTCCTGAGAAACTGAATACAGTCCAAGGAAAGTTTTGGCTTTGTTTTTAATTTGCTGACTTCATACAGAGAATTGGCCCTTGGACAAATAACAAATTGGCTATAGGACTTCTTAAATCCAGTGTTTACAGTTAAATGTTAAGTATCTGACTGACGATGTCTAGAGTTGTATGAGGTGCCAAAGGGTATTCCAGCAGCTCCTAATCAAAAGAGCATGTCTCCCATAGGGGACCCCATCTCTGCCAGCCCCGCGTGATTGCCCCAGACATCTTTTTTAGACCTAAACACCTGTATTTGGCCTATAGTCCTCCCCTGTCTTATATAGGTCTTGACATAGTGCCTGCTAAGTTTAATAGGAGTCTTTTCATTAGTGTCTGAAGGTTTCTTACTACAGGTTCCAACACGTGGTCACCTATCTTGTCTATGCTGAAGAGCAATGGTTAGTGCAGACCACCCAACACCCCACTGTGTAGCTGGCAGAGAGAAGGCAGCAATGTGACTAAGGCAGAAAGGAAGGGCAAGAACTCAGAATTTGGCCTTTAATCTCTTAAATCAGTTCTGGGTACTTCTAAAGATGAGGCAGCTAAAAGTACAATTCAATAGGAATAAAAATGTATGTATGCACGTGGGTGCTGGAGTAAGGCACCATGGACAACCCCCGAGCTAATCCCAAGCTCATGATAGAGGTTGAACTGATCCCAATAAGTGACAGCACGGAGACCCATAAACCCAACTTTAGGTACCCATTATTGATGGTTGGTGGATAAATTCAAACTGGAAATGTGGATTAAGCAGAAGAGGAAATTTAATCACAGAAGCAGATGTGGTAGAATCTCCATGAAGTTGAATCTTGAGGTAAGCTTCAGTTTCTGTGAAGCCAGTGTCCTCTAATGTCATCGTGCTCTTCTTGAAGTCACCCTTTCAATCAAGAGATGCTTGATTTCTAGAAAACATGGTATAGCTGAGCAGAGTGTTAAATTCAGGTAAAATACTGTGAGACAAGGCTCAGTTGTTCCTTGTGGCGTTCAGATCTATGACTGCACCAGACTCTGGAAGGACAACACAGGGTCCCAAGGGCACATGAAGAGGGAATGTGTTCATGGGGACATGAGAATCAGGTGTTCACAGTAAGAATTTTCCCCTTCCTTACTCCAAAATAACACACGGTCTTTTTTTTTTTTTCCCCTTGAATTCTACCAGAGGGTCAGAAGTTCAACATGGAAAACAGTATTGATGTGAAGATAGAAACCAAGGGGGAAAGAAATCCAATAAAGCAGAATCCACTGAGCAAAGCTGGGAAGAGAGTCTGCAGGGCTGTTGGGTACATCACTGGAGACATGAAGGAATTTGGAGCCTGGCTAAAAGGTAAAGCTACTTCACCATGACTAATTACAGGATTCCAGAGAAAAATTACATCAAAGGACTAATAACTAACTTCTCAGTAATATGAATCAAGTTAGAGCAGTACAGAAACCACTTCTGCCCTGATTTATTTCCGTTTTGCAGGAAAAAGTCCATTTTGTGCAGAGATACACCTACGGCTTAACTCTGGAGGATGACTGAAATGACATTTGCCTCCCAACGTGCCATGTACAAGGCGAATTTAGTGCCAGAGAACACAGGCTGAGATGATGATTTTGTGCTCTGCCATTCTTCATAAGGCTCCCTGTCCTTTCAGCTGAGCAGTTTCTGTCAAGCCTAATGCCACTGCGAAGTTAAATCACACATAGATAGGTGTGTTTGGTCCCCATAATAAATCAGCGCTGGGATACACACGCGATTTGCCATCTGAGGCACAGACATCATAAATTAGCTGGTTCATCTGAATCCGGTCCAAGGTACTTTATAACAGGGGACTCTGGCAACCACACTCTTCATCTCAGCTTTCCAGCTGTAAGACTTCAGCATAGACCGTAATAAATCCCAGTCAGGTTTACAGCCTTGTTGATTCATTACTTCAGTTGTGCTGCCAAGTTCCACTGCCAAAACTTCCTGAGTTTCAAAAAAAACCACCCCAAATCACTATCATCTGAATATTTTGAGAGGTTTTTTTAATTATTTTGTTTAATCTCTTCCAGATAAACCTCTCATGGTCCAGTTTATTGACTGGGTGCTGCGTGGGATATCCCAGGTGATGTTTGTCAACAATCCCCTCAGTGGGCTTATCATAGTTGCTGGCTTCCTGGTGCAGAACCCATGGTGGACCCTCACAGGCTGTTTGGGAACAGTTGTCTCGACTTTAACAGCACTTCTCCTGGGTCAGGACAGGTAAGTCCATGCTTTCCCCTTTCAACACCAGATTGCCACTTCAGTGCTGACTTCCATGTTAACAAGTGATGTGGATGAAAAGCAGGTATCCAGCCTTCACTGGTCTGGGAAGACCAGACAGATCTTCCAGCCAGCTGTGTCTGGTGCAAAGGGACATTGGACAGAAGGGTCAGGTGCTGAGAGGATGTGGGACTGAAGCATGCGAAGCGGAAGGTTGATGCACCATCACACAGAGTCACCAGGGCTTGGGGACGGAGGGGGTGGCATGAGCAAAGCGCTTGCAGGGGAGAAGATTTCAAGATGGTTTTTTCTTTCTGACAGATCGGCCGTTGCAGCAGGCTTGTACGGCTACAACGGGGTCTTGCTGGGATTGCTTATGGCCATCTTCTCCACTAAAGGAGACTACCACTGGTGGCTTCTGCTGCCGGTAGCACTGGTGTCTGTGACGTGGTAAGTCGGATTGCTCCTATGCTTCCAGTCCCCACGCTAGGACTGACCTGTTGTATTTTTATGTAATACAATGGGAAAGAAACACAGCTGGCATGTACATGCTACTAAATCTGTATCATTATCTGCACTTTTAAACGTTTAAAATGCAATCCCAAAACAAATAAAATACCCACATAATCACAAATAAACCCAATGGGGAAAAGGAAAATTAATGGCTAAACATATGTAATTCAATGCCCTAAATGTTAGCCATATTTCTGTGATGCATCATTTCATTTTTGTCTCAAGAGGAATATTATTTTTATCATTCTCGTCCACCACCAGCCACAAATGTTTCATCTATTTCAGCCACCATATAAATTATGTCACGAAAATTTAGTTCTCCAGGCACCAAAGCTGTTCAGTTGTCCCAAGATGTGATGGCTGATGCTAATAAAAACAAACAACTAATAATACTTTACTCATACACGTGACATCATAATCTGCTAGGTATTTTGACAGTGAAAATTTTGAAAGCTGGTCTTTGATCCCCAAATGTCTAATTGGAGATTGCTAAACCACATGCATCTGTCTGCCTTGAGTTGCTGTGGTGCTATAGTCACTTTAATAAGCACACCTTTGCTATCAGCCTTTACTTCTGACGGCCCTGCTCTGTAAGCTTGAACAAGGACACACAGCCTTCTTCACATCTCACTCAGACCTGGCACAGGTGTCTTGAATGCAATCCACTTCAAGTACTAAAAGAAAAAAAATAAACACTGGGTATGGGTTGGGAAATAACTGCTTTAAATCACTGGATCCTCCTCCTTCACCAGATTCATGGCATATATTGCATAACACCGTAAGAATCTGTGCATTGCTAACTGCCCTGGGAAGGGTAGGAAATTCACTGTGTGACCTTAGCATATCTCTGATTTTATCAGAAAGACTGATGAAACTAAAAAAAAAAACAAACCTAGAGTGAATTTCATGCAGTTGTGGTTTTTTGTTGGTTTGGGTTTTTTTTGCCTATCTGACAAGCTCCTATCTTCTTTCAGCCCTGTTTTCACCAGTGCTTTAGACTCAGTCTTCTGTAGGTGGGATCTTCCTGTTTTGACCTTGCCTTTCAACTTGGCCTTGACCCTCTATCTGGCTGCATCAGGACCCCATAACCTCTTCTTCCCTACAACTGTCGTTCAGCCTGCAACAGCAACACCAAACATCACCTGGACGGATGCTGAAATGTCAATGGTAGGATGCCTTAAAAATAACAACATTCTCCATTTAGAGAGGGAACCATTATAGAATCATATTATCTTCCTTTATATTACTACATTCAGCCTGGCAATACAAAATTGCATTGAAAAGATAGCTATTATCCAAAATGTAAAGATTTACTCTAGGAATTGACATTCTTGAGAGCTTGAAAATAATCTTTTTAGTATTCGGTATCTTTCATTTACAGTTGGATCTAACTTAGAATTTTGAAAGTTACCCATTGCTGTGCGTATACTGATCAGCACCCACAGATAAGGTTGTGCTGAGACTACCTGTTAACTCACAGGTCACTTTTATTTCCCATGTAGAGATTGCCATGTTTTTAAAATTGCATCTTTCTGAATAGAAATGAATGAGCAGATATTACTATGGAAGAATGGTTACAAACTTGAGCGCTGGCACATGTTCACATAATCAGGCAGGACCTTTAAAAAAAAATTCTCCTGCATAGTGTGTTAAACAACACTAGAGTAATAGTTTTCCTCTAGGACTTGGTAGACTGTTTTGAGGGGTTCCCTGGGAGTGGTCTGGACGGTCTGGATTGATGTGGCGAGGCCAGCCGTATGAAGGTCAACAAGGCCAGGTGCCTTGTCCTGTCCTTGGGCCACAACGCTACAGGCTTGGGG